GCCTTTCAAAGTACCCAAGGACACTTTACAACATTAAAAACACATTAACAATAAAAAGGCAAAAAAACACTAGAATTAAAAGAAAATAAGAAATTAAAGTGGGAACTTGAACAAATGAGTTTTGAGTTGTGATTTGAAAGTAAGAAGAGAGTCAATATTACGAATGTCAGGGGGAAGAGCGTTCCAGAGTTGGGGAGCARAGTGAGAGAAGGCTCTGATTCCCATGGTGCTGAGGCGGACAAGAGGCACGTTGASATGGATGGAAGAAGAAGAACGGAGGAAGCGTGAATGGGTAGTGATGTGGAAGAGATCAGACAGATAGGGAGGGGCGAGATTGTGGATGGCCTTGAATGTGAACAGCAGGATTTTAAATTGAAWTCTGAATGTGACTGGAAGCCAGTGAAGTTGTTGTAAAACTGGGGTGATGTAGTGAAATGAGGTYGTTTTGGTGATGATGCRGGCAGCTGAATTTTGAACCATTTGAAGTTTACGGAGTGATTTGTTAGGCAGAGCAAAGAGGAGAGAGTTACAGTAATCAATTYGAGAAATGACCAGACTATGAACCAAGATGGAAGCAGAGTGCGGGGAGAGGGATTGACGGAGTCGATTGATGTTTCGAAGGTGGAAATATGCCGACCGGGTAATATTGTTGATGTGAGAGTGAAAAGAGAGAGTGCTGTCAAGAATGACACCCAGACTCTTGACCTGAGGGGAGGGAGAAACCAAGGAGCTGTCAATGGAGAGGKAGAAACTGTTAACTTTAGATAAGGTGGATTTGGTGCCAATGAGAATAAACTGTTTTATCACTGTTTGATTTGAGGAAGTTAGATGTGAACCAAGATTTTATTTCAGCTAAACAGGAAGTGACGGAGGAAGGAGGGAGTGAAGAATTGGGTGTAGTGGATAAGAAGAGCTGGGTGTCGTCGGCAAAGCAATGAAAGTGGATGTTAAATTTACGGAAGATAATGCCAAGGGGGAGAAGGTAGATGATGAAAAGAAGGGGCCCCAGGACAGAGCCCTGGGGCACACCTGAAGTCACAGGGGAGGAGTGGGATCTGAAAGATTTAAKTTGAATGAACTGAGTGCAGCCAGAGAGATATGACTGAAACCAAGCGAGGGGTGTGTGTGTGATGCCGATGGATGAAARTCTGTGAAGAAGGATAGTGTGGGAGATGGTATCAAAAGCCRCACTAAGATCAAGGAGGATGAGAAGAGAAAGTAAACCAGAATCTGCTGCTATGAGAAGAGTGTTAGTGACCCTGAGGAGAGCMGATTCTGTGCTGTGACCGGGSCGAAAACCAGACTGGAGCTGTTCATATAGWCTGTTTTTGGTTAAATAGAGATGGACAATACATGACGTGTTAATATTTATTCAACAAGGACTAAMTCTTTCATATGTTCACGGCTCTGTTATGGTTTCATGGCAGCATATCTGTCAGATTAACGTGTAGAATTTACCACATTATTTTTCTTTATTTTCAGAATCCTCTGCTTTAGTTACAGTATGTCACAAGACAAAGGTTGTTTAACTGGGTAGTGACTCACTGGGCTGCTACTGTTGGAGACTTGAAAGGAAGTTTATTCTGTTTAACACTGATTTTTATTAATGCACTACACATCAGATTTAGGCCATTTTATGATAAACTACTTGAATAATTATCTATTTTTTATGATTAATGTGTGATAAGTTGATGTGCAGTCTGCTTTGAATGATTCATGTCATGGTCTTCTCAAACAGAATGTGAATGTACTTTTAATTGGTACATTAGTTAACACAAGTCTATCATCATACAACAGAGCAGTTATTTTTTCATCAAGTTTTCAATAGTTGGTAAAAGAGTCTGGCCACTGAGTAGAGAAAATCCTCCCAATAGATGTGATATCTTGCCCCTGGAGTGTGGCCAGAACTGGAGGAAACTGGGTAAAATATGTTGGTTTGTTTTKATTYGTCACCAAAAATCTATCTCTGAATAAACAGTCTTCATTTTGGTCCAGCTGTGGTATTGTATGACTTTATTTCTTGCACTTGAAGTATAATTTTGTAATTGTTACCTGATTCTCAACTTGCACCGAAGTAACAGAACATGTTATCTTTCAGACTTTAGGGGGGGAAAAGGGTAATTTTCAGTTGCAGTTTCACTGAATTAAGAACTTGTCTTCTGCCAGATGTACAGAAACATTTTGAGCGGCCAGTCTTTAAAAATCATGCTGTGTTTTTGTGTTCAGAGGCTTGCAGGACTCTATTCTAGGCCGTGTACATCATTTTGTCGAAAAACCAGCACCATCGTACCCACCTCAGTCCACTTCAAACCCACTATAGCAGCTAAGACTTTGAATTTTTTGGTAGTAATGTGATAAAATRTAGAAAGGTAGAATTGGGTATGAATACTTTAACTTTCTGTGAATCAGTGTGGAAACAGGTGATGATGCAATCCTAAATGCTTTATGCCACATTTAGTTCTTGAAGACGTCTCATCTAACTTGTAACAGAAAAACTATCAGAAACATCAGACTCATGCATCATCTCAACACTCACAATTCTCACTGGAATCAGTTTCAGAATGTTTCCCAGCTTCAGACACAGACCTGTTCACCTATTTGACCACATCATGTAAGAGACAGGTGCCTGCAGTGACTCTGTGTGAAGGTCTAAAGGCCAGTCTTGAATCTTCTCCCTTCAAGTCTTCAGAACTGAAGATGTYATGGTCTGTGTTTTTCATGCTTTGGTCTTTCTAAGGGTTTCAGTGTTTCCCTGCGTGTTCTCTGCCCCGCCCACACTCACCTGTTTCCTCTTGTGTCTCCTCCAGGTGTTTCTCATTTGTCCTCATTAGTTTCTCTTTATATTCTGTGTCCTGTGTTCAGTCCTTGTCTGATCATTGTGTGTCTCAGCCTGAATAGTTTTTCATGTCTATGGGTTTTTGCCACAACCAAGCCTTGTAAGTTTTTTCAGCTGCCTTGTCAGCATTTTAAGTTAATAAATCCTTTTGTTTTTTGGAACCTGAACCTCGCCTGTGCCCCRGGTTTATCTGCCTTGCTAAACCTGACAGAAGAAGCCTTTTGGCCAAGAGGTGAACTGTTTACAAAAACTAACAACAAGCATAATCCAGTTGTCTTCTCAAACAAAGAGCATTTATAAACGTAAAGCAAAAGATTGGAACGTTCTACCTGTGTGTACCAGCTGAGGTGATACACTAATAAGAAATATTTGCCGTACAGACTTGTTTGAACAAAACTTTGTTTTGCCTGTAGAGTCTGAGATGAAGCTCCTACTGAATGTTTCAAGAAATCCTTGCGGGATTATTTTTATATTATCATGCCTCTGCCCCARAGGCRTACTGTTCTTTGGTTATCTGTCTGTGCGTTAGTGGGTGTGAAATTTTGTCCTTCACACTGTCTTGTGTGCACTTCAGCTCCTGAACAGAGATATTGATTTCAGTCAAAATTCACTGATAATTGTTCTCGACCCAAYGGGGGTCTGAAAACATTTTGAGGTCAAGGGTGAAGGTCAGGTAAAGTCATCTTTGTGGCTTAAATCTCCTTACTTTGGATCGTACACAAGTGTTTGGTCACTGAAATTAAGGATATGGTAAATATCAAAGAGGAAGTCATGTTTAGAAGTCAAAATCGGCTGTGTCTCAATTCATGGGTTGCAGCCAACGTAGACCACAGCTGATGTTGGCTGCAGTCTACGTGGGCCGTAGGCCGCTTGTGTCGGCTGCATAAACGACAGACGGTCTAGTCTACAAAAATCCAACTTGTAACTGCATTTTATTTAACATCTTATTGTAACAAAAGTTTCTTCAGCTAAGTTGTTCATCTTACATTTTTCAGTCTGCTAATTTTCCAAATTCTGTCATTAAAAAGGGGGAAAAAATCTGCTGTAGAATGAAAAAGAAGCCCTACGCCATCTTTGTTTTTTTGTTTAATTTGCTGACGGCACAATGAATTCTGGGATATCATCGACCGCATAGGATACTCAGATGCAGCCGAAGTTTTAGGGGTTTTGTCAGTGCAGACAAATTGGGACAGTCTACTGCGCCGGGCAGTGACGTARGTGGCTAACAAATGCGGCCGGCATCGGCTGCAACCCATGAGTTGAGACGCAGTCATAGTTACATACTTCTTAGGAGATTTAAGTCCAAAAATAGAGGTAAACGGGTAACTGCATGCCCAGTGCTTTGAATGCAGATGACTCTGGGGCAGACAGAGGCCCACCAGTTCATGCTTTTACATCAAGTTCTGTCTTGTTTCTTTCTTCTACTTTTGATCCATAAAGTTTATGAGGTTARACTTTCTGTTTATCAAAACATATTATGTATTTACATGTCCTTCACAAATTTTCAGTAGGTTTCTTCTTTTCACAAATTGTCACTGGTTTCATGYCAAAGCTTCAAATCTTTAAAAAGGATTCTTGTGTGTTTTGATGCAGGTGGTGGGCATCCTGGTGGGGGTCAGCATCATCGTGCTGGTGACRTCTCCGCTCCTCCTGCTGGCCTCGCCCTGCATCCTGTGCTGCATGTGCAAGCCCTGCAGCAGCAAGAAGAAGAAGAAGCAGCAAAAGAAGAAGGACTTCAGTCCACCAGACCGCTCCGCATCATAGCAGCCCCTGCTCCCATCTGCCTGATCACAATAACTCSCATTTGCCAAGTGGAGGCCAAGGAAAGTAAAAGTGCCGAAAGAACTTATGGAACAAAGAAGTATTTCTTRTTTATCCTCAGACTAGAGCCACTTGGATTGTGGGCCGCTTGGATAAACGAGTCCAGACTGTCGTCCCTCTGTTGAGAACAAATAATTTGCCTTGCAGAATTTATCTTCAGATGCAGAACAGAGCAGTGGATTTTCCTGCGCAGGACTGTTTTTCTGTACATGCACACTCACATTCAGGTCAACGCCACCCTCGCGTGCCAAATGTCATGATGCCAAACCAGAGGCGTTAGTGCTCAAAGTGCCTCTCTGTGCAGCGCCAGGTGCTTGGCTCATTTTCCTTTACCTTTGCATTCTGTCTATATTTTATGCAACAACAAAGAAATACACACAGGCCTGGGAAACCTTAAACAAGGCAGAACATCCTTTGCTAACAGGAGATGGCGTTGTGTTTGCACTTTATAACCTGTATTTATATGAAACATGATAGGGCTTCAGTGGTACACAGAGAACTYATCTTCTGCAAACGGGTTGTTTCCACCTGGTTCCAGACCAAAGGCTCGAACGGAAAAATCTGTACTTTTCTAAAATGTGTTCATATCTATTTATTGATTATGTGTACAATATCATTTCTACATCTCTTGTTTGTGTTTCTGCCTTTTCTAAAAACGCCATTGTAAATAAAAATAAACAATGTGTTAAACCTGCGTTGGATGCGGCTCTGGTTTAGGTAAAACTTATTTCTCAGCCTTTCACTTAAAAAATATCCACCCCTTTTGTTGTCATGATCTGTATTTTAGCTTTACAACCTAAAATTTAAGATTTAGTTTGGAGGGTTTGCATCTTTTAATTTGCACAGAAAACCTGCCACTTTGAAGATGCAAAGAATTTTAGTGAGCATAACTATTCACACACACACACACACACACACACACACACACACACACACAC